CGTGTCATCCTATTTTGCTTAATATCTGGATGTGCCTCGTGATTCTTGAGTGCTCTTGTGTATGTGTCCACGCTTGTGGGAGATTATATTGTTGTTGATCGTGTCTATCGCTCGTGTGTGATTACTATTGGAAGTCTTGAGACTAGCATTGATCTTTAGTTCTTGATAAGGTAGATTTTGATGTTATATTAGGTATAGGCTGGATGTCACCTTATCATGCTATATTAGATTGTCACGCCAAGATGGTGACCATAGCCATGGTGGGGTTGCCTTGATTAAAGTGGAGAGGGACTCCTGACCACTCTACTAGCAGAGTTATCTCTTATGTGAAGGCTCGACGTATGGTCGAGAAGGGATGTCTAGTTTATTTGGCCTATGTCCGTGATTCTAGTACGGAGGTTCCTTCCATATATTCAGTACCAGTTGTTCGTGAGTTTTCAAAGGTGTTTCCTGCAAATATGTCGGGGATGCCACCCAATAGAGATATTGACTTTTATATTGATTTGGCTCTGGGCACTCAGCCCATTTCCATTCCACCATATCGTATCGCCCCGTCGGAGTTGAAGGAGTTGAAGAAGAAGTTGCAAGATTTTCTTGATAAGGGATTCATTAGACCTAGTGTCTCGCCTTGGGATGCGCCTGTGTTTTTCATGAAGAAGAAAGATGGGTCGATGAGAATGTGTATGGACTATCGGCAGTTGAACAAGGTCATTATCAAGAACAATTATCCGTTGTCGATGATTGATGACTTATTTGATTAGCTTCAGGGTGATAAGGTGTTTTTGAAGATTGATTTGAGATTTTTCTACCATCAGTTGAAGATTAGGGCATCTGATGTCCCTAAGACAGCTTTTCGGACTCGGTATGGGCATTATGTGTTCCTAGTGATGTCATTTGGGTTGACAAATGCCCCAGCAGCATTTATGGATTTGATGAACCGGGTGTTCAAGCACTACTTGGATTCTTTTGTGATTGTATTCATTGATGATATCTTGATCTACTCCTGCAGTCGAGAGAAACATGATTAGCATTATCGGATTGTACTTCATACTCAGAGAGGTGGCTAGTTATATGCCAAGTTTTCAAAGTGTGAGTTTTGGTTAGACTCAGTCGCCTTTTTGGGGCATTTTTTATCAGCAGAGGGCATAAAGGTGGATTCTAAGAAAATTGAGGCAGTTCAGAACTGGCCTAGACCTACTTTAGCTAAAGAGATATGGAGTTTCCTGGGTTTGGTGGGTTACTATCGCCGGTTCATGGAGGGGTTTTCATCCATAGCAACCCCATTGACTAGATTGACCTAGAAGGGTGCCCCATTCAGATGGTCAGATGAGTGTGAGTTGAGCTTTCAGAAGCTCAAGACTGCTTTGACTACGACACCAGTGTTGGTGTTGTCCACGGGTTCAGGATCCTACACATTGTATTGTGATGCATCTCATATTGGGCTCGGTGTAGTATTGATGCAGAATGGCAGGGTGATTGCATACGCATCGCGGAAGTAGAAGGTTCATAAGAATAATTACCTTGTTCATGACTTAGAGTTGACATTCATTGTTCATGCGCCGAAGATTTGGAGGCACTATCTTTACGGCGTGTCGTGCAAGGTATTCACGGATCATCGGAGTCTGCAGTATTTGTTCAAGCAGAAGGATCTCAACTTGAGGCAGATGAGGTGATTAAAACTATTGAATGACTATGATATCACCATTTTGTATCATCCCTGGAAGGCTAATGTGGTGGCCGATACCTTGAGTAGAAAGGCTGTGAGTATGGGTAGTCCTGCATATATCCCAGTTGGTGAGAGGCCACTTGCAGCAGATGTCCAGGCTTTGGCCAATTAGTTCATGAGGTTAGATGTTTCAGAGCCTAGTCGTGTGCTAGCTTGCACAGTCGCTCGGTCTTCCTTGTATGAGCGTATCATAGAGTGTCAGTATGATGATCCCTATTTGCTTGTCCTTTTAGGATACGGTGCAGCACGGTGGTTCCAAGCAAGTTACTGTTGGGGATGATGGGGTTATGAGGATGCAAGGTCGTATTTGTGTGCCTAATGCGGATGGAATTCGTGAGTTGATTCTTGAGGAGGCCCATAATTCCTGATATTCTATTCATCCGGGTGCCGCCAAGATATATTAGGACTTGTGGCAGCATTATTGGTGGAAGAGTATGAAAAAGGATATAGTTGTATATGTAGCTCGGTGTCTAAACTATCAGCAAGTAAAGTACGAGCATCAGATACCTACTGGTTTGCTTCAGAGGTTAGAGATTCCTAAGTGAAAGTGGGAGCATATCACTATGGATTTTGTTGTTAGACTCCCACGGACTCAGAAGAAGTTCGACGCGGTATGGGTCATTGTGGACAGGTTTACCAAGTTGGCACATTTCATTCCAGTGGCAGTTACCTATTTTTCAGAGCGATTAGCTAATATCTACATCCGTGAGATTGTCCGTCTTCACGGTGTGCCCGTGTCTATCATATCTGATCGAGGTACGCAGTTCACCCCTCACTTCTGAAGGGTTGTACAGTGTGAGTTGGGCACGCAGGTTGAGTTGAATACAGCATTTCGCCCCCAGTCGGACGGATAGTCCCGAGCGCACTATTCAAATATTGGAGGATATATTTTGCGCTTGTGTTATGGATTTCGGGGGTTCTTGGGATCAGTTCTTGCCGCTTGCGGAGTTTGCCTATAACAACAGTTATCAGTCGAGCATTCAGATGGATCCCTATGAGGCATTATACGGGAGGCGGTGTCGTTCGCCAATCGGATGGTTCGAGCCTAGGTAGGCTCGGTTGTTGTGTACAGATTTGGTACAGGATGCCTTGGATAAGGTCAAGATCATTCAGAATCGACTTCGTACCGCTCAGTCTAGGAAGAAGAGTTATGCCAATGGTAGAGTTCGTGATGTTGCATTCATGGTTGGAGAGAGGGTACTGCTCCGGGTTTCAACCATGAAGGGTGTGATGGGGTTCGGAAGGAAGGGCAAGTTGAGCCCTAGGTATATCAGACCATTTGCAATTCTTGAGAGAGTGTGTGAGGTGGCTTACAAGCTCGCATTGCCACCTAGTTTATCAGCAGACCATCCGGTGTTCCATATGTCCATGCTCCAGAAGTATCACGGTGATCAGTCCCATGTGTTAGATTTCAGCTCAGTCCAGGTACTTTTCTATGTTCTTTCGAGGACGAACGCTTATTTTAGAGGTGGAGAATGTGATGACCTGATAGGTCATTTATAGATTTACCCTTCATTTCTATGTTCCGGGACATTAAATGGCTCCGCTTATCCTTCTTTAATTTACGTGCACAGTACGTGTCTTTTTTCCGAAGGTTTTTATGAGAAAATTGATGAAAATATAAAATCGTGCCTTAAAACTCATTTGAGTTGACTATGGTCAATATTTTGTGTAAACAGACCCGGATCAATATTTTAATGGTCCCGGTGGGTGCAAATCGGGATTTGGGACTTGGGTGTATGCTTGGAATCGAATTCGGAAGTACCTAACTTAATTTATCATAATTTATTGAAAACTAAAAGTTTGAAGGTTTAAAAAATTCATAAGTTTGACAGTAGTTTGACTTTGTTTCTACCGGGTTTAGATTTCAGTTCCGGAACTTGGTATAGGTTCGTTTCAATATTTATGACTAGTCTGCAAAATTTGGTGCAAAACGGAGTTGATTTGACGTGATTCAGACGTCCGGTTAAGAAATTGCATATTCTTAAGTTTCATTGAAAATTTCATTCGTTTTGGTGTATGATTCGTAGTTCTATGCATTATTTTGGTGTTTTGATCGCACGAGCGAGTTTGTATGATATCTTTGGACTTGTGTGCGTGTTTGGTTTGGAGCCCCGAGGGCTCGGGTGAGTTTCGAATAGGTTGCAGATATTTTTAAACTTAAGGAAATTTTTGGTTTTTGACTTCTGTTGGTTACTGATGTGTTCTTCTTCGCAACCGCGAAGATATTCCCGCGATTGCGAAGAGCAACCTGGTCTAGGGAGGCCTTTCTTCATCGCGAATATGACGACTGGTACGCGAACGCGAAGCTTTGGAGGGTTTTCCTTCGCGAACGCATAGCGTTAAGGGACCTGGGAAGGGGGATCGGTGGTTTGTTCTACGCGAACGCGAGCCCTGGCTTGCGAACGCGAAGGCCTTGGGGAGAAGCCTTCGCGAACGCGTAGGCCATTTGGGTCGTTGTGTCTCGCGAACGTGGCAGGCCTTTTGCGAACGCGAAGAAGTCCTGACGCCCAGTCACTTAAGTATTCCAAACACGGGATTTCACCCATTTTTCACCATCTTTCCATTAGAGCTTGGCCTAGAGGTGATTTGGAGGAGAAATTTCATCACCATTTCATAGATTAATGTACTTTAACTTATTTTCTTCCATTTTCATCATTACCCATTAATTTCTAGCCTTAAACCTTGTTCTTTCATAGTAGAAAATTAGAGATTTGGGAAGAATTGGGGGGTTTTGCAAATTTGGGATGGGTAAATGAATTTTGGTCCGAATCTCGAGTTTTGACTAAGCGAGTCTGAGGTTGACTTTTGTTGACTTATTGGGAAAAATGTAAAGATCGTAACTTTATGTATTGTAATTGATTCCCTACCTTTATTTGATATTATTGAGTCAATTTTGGTTAGACTCAATTGGTTTGGAGGCGGATTTTAGAGGAAAGGCCCCGGTAGAGCTTTGATTTGCTTGCAGAGCGGGGTAAATGTTGGGTCTAACCTTGAAGTACAACCATTTGTTGCTTCCAGAGGACAATATAAAAACAGCAGCAGAAAGGGTAAAAGAATAAAAGAGGCAAGGGGCAAACATTTGCGCATAAGAAAAAAGTTCTCGACAAGATTTCTGTGGTATTAGATATATTTACAATTAACTGAACCTACTGGAGCCCATATTATACAGAAAAGAGTCCATAGCCCCCACCCCCACCCACCTCCCACCCTCCAAAAAAAAACACCCCGCGTTCCTGTCGGGAAGCAAAGGCATTTCACGTCAACTAAAAAATTGCCTTACAAAACTGTGTACGGACAATGAAGGAAGAGGCACCCAGAAGCACAACCCTGCAAAACTATTTCTGTCTCCCTCCCCCCCAACCCACAAAAGCCGAAACAAAGCAGAATAGCCTGGCCCGTGCACGATATTTGATCCAGCTTTAAACATCACGTATCAATCGCAGATCACCTTGCTTCCAAGAATATGAACAAATGGCCTTGGCACCGGTAATTATCTGGAGGAAGGCTGAAAGGACACTTGATTGGCAGTCAACGGAAGACCAAGTTTACAGCTCTCAAAGCATCAGAACATATTCAGTTCAGGGCATAATGAACACGTTCTAGTAGCCGCACAACCTGATTGACAGTAATTGGAGGAGGAGATTGCTTTGAATTGAACATAATTGTGTTTTGTGCACCGAGAGGCAATGCTAATACAGCTTCTTGTTGCATACTAGTAAGCTCCAAGAACTGAGCAAGCATATCACCATCCAGAGCTTTCGGTGCCCTAGCCTATAATTGGAAGAGGCAAAAGCCCGGCACAAAGAATAATGAGTGACAGTTTTAGGCAGATATTTAAACATCAATCATAAAAAGCATGGCCCTCTAGTTTCTGCATTGCAAACCTAAAACACCTTGTCAAGGAAAACGAGAACTATAGAGAGCAAGAGTGAAAGACTGTAGTCACAGATTCCTCTTGTTTGCATTTCCAATTTTTTTTCCTTGTGTGATATGGAAAATCCTACTCCAGTAACCCCTCCACCCCTTAGATGACAACATTCAACAATGGCCCTTCCCCACTTTTTCCCTAGGTGGCTTGAACCGCCAGCCACATGGCAGGAGGTGAATGGTCCTTCCCACTACGCTATATCTCCCGTTGTCCTTGTTCACATTCTTATTGAGACATTCTATTTGCACTCCTCTGACATGAGCACAATGAGCAGCATGTGAATTGTAGAATTATACTTGAACAAAGCAAAAGCTTTAAATAGCCAAAGGCTAATGACAATTCTTTTACAAGAGTGAGACATCACAATCTAACATAATAGTCTTATCTAATGACAAATCTTTTTCATAAAAAATCATCAGGCTTGACTAGAAACTTCACCTTGTAAAAGCCGGAATTAAATAAGAACTTTTTTAAAAAAATTACAAAAAAATAAGAACTTCAAAACAGTTTAGATCTATCATAAGAAAAATATATCTCTTACCAGACTCCCCCGACAGCGAAATTCAGCATGGTCATTTCCCAATATAGGAGCAGTCAATGGATGGATGACAAGCCTAGCCTGTACCGCTTCTAAGAGATCATATTCCTCCCTATGAGAAAGTAAATCTCTTCAGAGGTAGTTTTAACACTAACTTCTATGCAAGAGAAAATAGATAGTCAACTGAAAACACTGCGTTTTGGCAATCAATTAAAATACTTCAACATTTGATCCATGTTAGGAGTAATTCTCTTTTTGTACCAAATTACCCATCTCCTATTTTAATGTCACGACCCAAATCCATGTGACTGGCACCCGACACACTACCCCACCCGAATGAACCAAAACACATATGATGCACCCCAACCATATGCATGAAAATCAATTTAACTCCGGAAGCTTTTTGAAAATCATATACATTTTCAATTTAAATCATGAAACATTTTTTTGATTTGTGCGTGTCACCCTTGTGCAGGGGCCATGCTAATCTTCTCTCTATCATTCCAATTTTATCGGATGTCCCCGAAATAAAACAGAGTATAAATACACTCCAGAAACTACTTATGACCACCTGCTTTCCAATTTCCAAGTCACTGTTTTCCCTCCCATTTCTGCAGGACAGCAAGGAGTGGGGTAGGAAGGGAAAAAAACACCAGATAATACTTACAGAGACTAAGAACTCCTAAACCAACTATAAAGCAGGAACATCTAACTCGGGTTGCCCGACACTAGCCGTTCAAAAGAGTAGTTGAATTCAATCAGTTTAAATCTCACGAATCACGAGAAGTCCCAAAACTGGCATTCTAATACTCCAGTAGAGTCAACATGCTGAGACAGCTATAAATGCATATATTAATTATTTAACATCTTGATGAAGAGACTAAGCTGATTGTCACCGAGGAGCAAAAGCAACCACCCAAATGTTATTATCAGATGATAATCATATCTTAAGTTTGCAGCTCAGACACTAGAACAACAGACTAAAAAATGCATGTAAATAGTGAAATAAAAGGCACAAAGAGTCGAAGAATGACGAAATCACATCCTACGAAGGTGAAGATGAACTCAATTTTTCAGGTAACATGAACAGTAAGTTTGACAGGATAATTGTGAAATACCTAGTAAGAGGAATGAAAATAATTATGCTCCCTAAAAGTGTACTAGCCATGATACTATTTTGTGATATGTCACCGACATTGCTGGCAACTTGACAGCCCTTAAGTGCATCATCTGCTGGAAGTTTATAAGAGAATGACCCCTGCAACAAATAATAATTCTCAAATCAATTGAGGCTGCCACCAAAACTAAGCCAAGGTGATAATGCTGCAGCATTTTGTCCCAAATGATCAAAGTTCATATTCCATTCCATCAAACTGTTAACGATTTTGTCCCATATCATCAAAGTCCATATCCTATTCCATCAAATCATTCAAGACTTCTTACAAAATCAAGTGAAGCCAATATCACTAAATATAGGAGTATTTTTTTTTTTTTTAAAGAAAGTGAAGGTGCTCGAGTATTGATTTTATTTTAACCTAAGCTTATATATGTAAAAAAATTAAATTCAATTTAAATTGATTGATTAAGAAGAAGTATAAGAACTATGAATTAATAGATTTCTTCGGAAATTACAGTTGAATACTGTTAAATTAGATATATAATAAGGAATACAGTTTGTAAAGCGAAAAACAGATAATCGATGAAATCAGATAATTTGCTATAGATGGAAAGAGTTGAAAAGAATTTTGTTCTCTCCATCTCCCTCAAGCACCAAAATCAGAACCGAGGAAATTTTTCAATTTTTCTACTCATAACCTCACCCGTGTCACCACTCAACACCATACTTGTTTTTTCTCAGCTCGGGGCATCATCTAAGAGAATACATAAATGTTAAAATAGAAGACTCCATAACTGGTTCAGTGGTTAGTGACCTTGCAATGCAGTAAAAGGTGTTTTGTCTTTTCAGATCCCTTGAAATATGAAATATCAGCTACAATCATCTTTTCTGGTCTATCACAAGTTGTGGTTTACGCTTGTGTCGGATTTGCCATCTTCTATATATCCTATGGTATGCATTTTATCTACTTTCTGGACCACAAACACCATAAGGCATCCAACAATTATCTCCTATAGGAAAGTGCACCTGCTTTCCACTGACAAATATTATACATGGTTGTTTATGTCATTTTTATACTATTTCATAAGGACAAAATAAGAAGAGGGTTCATTAGAAGGTGCATTATAGGGTGTAAAAGTTATCATCTTTGACAAGTATGATCTAAACCCATCATTCAAAACTAAACGGCTCCAGACAAATGCTTACCTTTCGAACTCTCATAGCTATCTCACCCATGTAGAATGAACAAGTTAGAGCTAGATTGCATTCTGGACTGGAATTATCTGTAAAACAAAGCCATATTTTCAAAAAACAAGTAAAAGATTTAAATTACAAATAGTTATTAGAGGAAGAAAAGCATGAGAAAGAAAATGATGAGGATATGCCATAAGAATCTCAGCTAGTGAAAACAGCAGAAAAGGTAATCATAAGGCATTAAATATGAACAGAGATCCTGATCTTTCTTTTCCTATGCAGTTGTATTTTAGAATTCGGATTTTACATAGATATTGTAAGTTGAATTTACCTTCTGAGTGATTCAAACATGATAAAATGGATAGACTCCCCTTTCGATCTGAAACAGCAGCTGTGTCTACATCCATAAGAGTGCAATCAGCAACTAACCTCTGGACAGGGTCACAGTAAACTTGCTCTAGTTTTCTTGCATCCTGATCACAAGACAGAAGAAGATGGCTTGTAAGGCAACAAAATTTCCAAACCTACCAACGCAAGGTGGTAATATCTGATATAAGTATTTTCATGCCCCATGCAAACTACAACCTAGAAAGAGGATTTTCAAATTTCCAGCCCCATAATGGAATACAAACAACCAATTCCCAACAAAACATGAATAACAAAAAGAGAAGGGAAATTTTTAAAGTAAAATCAACTCTAGCTACTTACCTCTTGATACGAGTAGAAGAGGACACCATCACGGCAATCACCAACAGCAATTCTGGTGAAGTGTGCAGTAAGAGTCATGATCATGAAACGTGTTCTCCCTACTGCTAAGCGTCTGACTCTTTGAGGATTATCATTTGGAAAACCACAAACATAAAACTGCGGGAAGCATGAAATATATTTTAGTAAGAGGTAACACTAACTTTGTGAGAAAGTCAGTAGATGAGAGTTATTTCAACTTACACAGTTGCCCGCAGAGGCCAAGAAATAACGATCAAGGTATGGGTAGACTGCAAGCACCATTCCAGGCCAGGTGGTTGAATAACCTAATCTTAAGTGCCATGCCTCACTTTCCTCAAGTTTAATCCCGTCACAGCTGTTATCGTCAGGACTGCTACAAAGACTACTGCTAGACAGCTGTTCAGCGGCATATCCACCAATCTCACGGAAAGGTGAAGTCCGTTGAGAAGATGATCCAGCCCTTGAAGAAAATGCAATTGACCCACTATCCGAGTTTTGCATTTGCTCGATGCAAAGAACTATTAGACGGCCCTTTGTACTGTAAAAAGCATCTTTATTAAATAATACAAAAACATGCAATTCATTTATACACTTCAGACAAACAAAGATCTACCCAGATAAGATATATTATTGGGAAAGAAAATATAAGCAAAAACAATGTATGCTTTATAGATTTATGGAAGTAAAATGCTATAATCATTTGGCGGATGGCACTAACCTTTCAGCTTCACCACTAGGCATTATAGCTGGACCAGTAGAGAGACTAGTTCCAACAACAAGAACTTGTTCGTTTCCAACTTTTACCAACTCCATGCATTTTCCTATCTCCCCTGGCTCAAACTTAAAGGAAGACAATACCGATCCGCTGAGAGGATCTACGCAACAGACATCAGATGAACATAAATCATCACTGAGATCAGTCCGTAATACAAGCAACAACCTACTGTCACTATGATATAGAACCTTTCGAGGAGTGCCACCAAAATGAAATTTCTGCACATTAAGCCGTTTACTAGGCACCATCTCCACCTGAAACAAAAAAATAGACGGCCACTTTGACTGACTATTAAAGGTGTAAAAAGACCAAGATCGATATATACAACTAAACACAGT